TCTTTTTTGGGCTCTGGCCTGCTGTGATGTTGTGGAGGACAATACTTGGGGGGGATGAACAAGATTAAATAAAGTTTGCTGAATCTGTATATGAAGAGACGCGTAGAGAAAGAGGCTGAACACCAAGCGGTATAAAAGACCCAAAATAATGCAACTTTGTACTCATGAATTGCTTCCCGACCGCCCTATACAATGAAGGAAATAAGTATTTGCTCCCCTGCTGATTTTGAATGTTTGCCCACTCACAAAAAAATGATCGGTCTAAAAATCGAATGGTAGGTTCAGGGGCGGATTGACAATTCATGGGGCCACGGGCAATAGGGGATCATGGGGCCCCTGTGTCCTTGCCCAAACTCAAAAAAGCCTATGAAAAAGGTACCAGGGGCATCTCATAGGGCCCCCTACTGACCTTGAGCCCTCGGGCAGTGCCTGAGTTTTCCAAATGGTCAGTCCGCCCCTGGTAGGTGTATTGTAACACTGAGAGACAGAATAGCAACAAAAAATTCAGCAAAAATGCGTGTCTAACAAATGATGACTGATCTGCATGTTCATGAGGGAAATAAGTATTTGATCCCCTATCATTCAGCAGGATTTCTGGCTACCAGGTGTCTTTCATACAGGGAACAAGCTGAGATTAGAAGCAGTCTCTTAAAGAGAGTGCTGCTAATCTCATTGTGTTCCCTGTATAAAAGACACCTGTCCACAGGAGCAATCACACAATCAGATTTCAAACTCTCCACCATGGCAAAGACCAAAGAGCTGTCCAAGGATGTCAGGGACAAGATTGTAGACCTACACAAGGCTGGACTGGGCTACCAAACTATCGCCAAGCAGCTTGGTGAGAAGGTGACAACAGTTGGTGCAATCATTCGCAAATGGAAGAAACACAAAACAAGTGTCAGTCTCCCTAGGTCTGGTGCACCATGCAAGATCTCACCTCGTGGAGTGTCAATGATCATGAGAACAGGGAGGAATCATCCCAGAACTACACATGAGGATCTTGTCAATGATCTCCAGGCAGCTGGGACCACAGTCACCAAGAAAACAATGGGTAACACACTACGCCGACAAGGACTGAAATCCTGCAGTGCCCGCACGGTCCCTCTGCTCAAGAAAGCACATGTCCAGGACCTTCTGAAGTCTGCCACTGAACATCTGAATGATGCAGAGGAGGACTGGTGGGAAGTGTTGTGGTCAGATGAGACCAAAAGTTCTTTGGCATCAACTCGACTCGCCGTGTTTGGAGGAGGAGGAATGCTGCCTATGACCCCAAGAACACCATCCCGACTGTCAAACATGGTGGTAGAAACATTCTGCTTTGGGGGTGTTTTTCTGCCAAGGGGACAAGACAACTGCACCGCATCAAAGGGACGATGGAAGGGGCAATGTACCGTCAAATCTTGGGTGAGAACCTTCTTCCCTCAGCCAGGGCATTGAAAATGGGTCGTGGATGGGTGTTCCAGCATGACAATGACCCAAAACACACGGCCAAGGCAACAAAGGAGCGGCTCAAGAAGAAGCACATTGAGGTCCTGGAGTGGCCGAGCCAGTCTCCAGACCTTAATCTGATTGAAAATCTGTGGAGGGAGCTGAAAGTTCGACTTGCCAAACGTCAGCCACCAAACCTTAATGACTTGGAGAGGATCTGCCAAGAGGAGTCGGCCAAAATCCCTCCTGAGATGTGTGCAAACCTGGGGGCCAACTCCAGGAAACATCTGACCTCTGTGATTGCCAACAAGGGATTTGCAACCAAGTACTAAGTCATGTTTTGTGAAGGGGATCAAATACTTATTTCCCTCATGAACATGCAGATCAGTCATCATTTGTTAGACGCATTTCTGCTGAATTTGTTGTTGTACTCTGTCTCTCAGTGTTACAATACACCGAACATTCGATTGTTAGACCGATCATTTCATTGTGAGGGGCAAACATTCAAAATAAATCAGCAGGGGATCAAATACGCTTTAACTTCACTGTAGCAGAAGTACTGCTACAGGGTGACAGGGCTGCGCAAAATCACATATATATATATATATAAATATATATATGTGATTTTTTTATTTCCGTGTGCGCCGTCCTACCCGTGTTGCTGCTGGCAACTTCAGCTGTCCATCACCGGGTCCCGGCCGGAGATTTCCCACCGGAACCCGGCGATAGCCAAGGAACAGTGACAGGGGAAAGGTCTGTATGTAAACAATACAGATCTCTCCTCTGTCAGCATCAGCATGCTGCTTTGTATGGCTCTGCATAGCAGATCCATACAAAGCAGAATGTTTACAGTGTAAAGCACACACAGACAACACAATAAAACAGCACACAGTTCACCCTTTGATCGCTCCAGATGTTAACTCCTTCCTGCTCAGTGTCATTAGAACAGTGTCAGTGCTTTTTATTAGCACTGGTCACTGTCAGTTTGAATGTCAGTGGCAGTTAGTCCCCACCCAGTGTCAGAATGTCCGCTGCAGTCCCGCTATAAGTCGCTGATCGCCACCATTACTAGTATAAAAAAAATTCCAGTATATATACCACCATTAGATGGTATAACATTCACGTAAACAAATTAATTTACACGTATTGGGATTTTTCTTAGCAAAGACATGGAGCAGAATACATTTTGGCCTAAATGTATGACTAACTTTGATTGTTTTAGTTTTTTTACTGGATATGTTTTATAAAAAAAATCAAAAATATAGTTTTTTTTCCCCAAAATTGTCTGTACTTTTTTCTTTATAGCGCAACAAATAAAAAATGCACAGGTGATCAAATACCACAGAAAGAAAGCTCCATTGGTGGGGAAAAAAGGACATACATTTCATTTGGGTGCAGCGTTGCACGACCGCGCAATTGTCAGTTAAATTAACGCAAAAAATGGCCTGGTCAGGAAGAGGGGTGAATGCTCTGAAGGGCAAGTGGTTAATAAATGCATTTTTTTAATGCAAGCAGTGTAAATACAAAAAAAATTGTCTTTATTAAAAATGAAGGAGCGAAGAGACTGCATTGGCTCCAGCTTGGCAGCAGCGGTAGAATAATAAATCCTGGAGCCTCTGCGATCAGCACAAAGCCATTGTCATATGTGCAGCCCGGTACTGAGTGCGAAGGACCCCCGTGCCAAAACATGTCTCATCTCTTCCATCTCTCCTCTCCAGGAAAGTCCAATTACAGTTAATGAAACAGAAGTGTCCTCCGCCCAGATAGCAGAACCGAAAAATAATTAGCCAAATGTTGATTACCAGCAAATGTTCTCGCTTATTCCGAGAACCGCCGCTTGTGTGCAGGGAAGGGATGTCACCGAACAGATACAGAGTTACCCAAAACAAGTCAGATCCATGGTGTGCGGCTTTCCCTGCTGCAGATCACGTACAAAAATCCTACATTAAAATGATTTCCTTGAAAGACAATTGGGAGACAAGGAGTGTTACCATCCTATAACTGGAGGTACCCGAACAATGACCTTCATGGTAGGATCACCAAGGATTACATCCTAAATTTATGATGACAGATTATGTTTGAAACATTTATAAGTATTTTTTTTTTAAATGTTTTATATATTTATGTTTATATCACAAAAACATAAAAAAAAAAACCCAGTAGTGATTAAATGCAACCAAAAGAAAGCTCTATTTGTATGAAAAAGATGCTATAAATTTCATTTGCCTACAGTGTTGTTTGACCGAACAATTGCCAGTTAAAGTAGCACAGTGCTGTATAGCAAAAACAAAATGACCTGGTCATGAAGAGAGTAAAAACTTCCGCAGGTCAAGTGGTTAAATGAAAGTTGCATATTTAAAAAAAAAAGATTTTAGTAAATTGGCCTACATATTTTAAAAGTTATACATGATATAAGGTGCCAGAGAAGACTAAATGAATATGTCCCTGTCCCTTTCTTCTAATTAAAAATCATTTTTTTGTTACCTATTTGCCATTATACAGTACCTGCAGAGCCTGCTTAAGTATGCATTGTGCTCTGTAAGGAATACACAGATCAGTCTGTTCAGCCAACATGAAGGTTCCTCCAGAGGTAGCTACAGGTCCCTTGAGGTTTGGCTGATGACTTCCAATTTGTTCCATAGTTCTCAGGTCAATGCCCCCAGAACAAGCTGTATTAGCCCAAAGATTTTTTTAGTTGCCTGTAAGGGTGTCTTTATTCCCACTGACCCCCAATGTAAGGAGCATTCTTCCCACTAATAACCAATATAAGGACCATTTCTCCTACTGATAACCAATGTAAGGAACATTCTTCCCACTGACCACCAATGTAGGAAGCATTGTTCCCACTGATAACCAATGTAAGGAGCATTCTTCCCACTAATAACCAATATAAGGACCATTTCTCCCTCTGATAACCAATGTAAGGACCATTATTCCCACTGATCACCAATGTAAGGACCATTCTTCCCACTGATAACCAATGGAAGGACCATTCTTCCCACTGACCACCAATGTAGGAAGCATTGTTCCCACTGATAACCAATGGAAGGACCATTCTTCCCACTGACCACCAATGTTGGAAGCATTGTTCCCACCAACCACCGGTTTAAAGGACATTCTTCCCAATGACCACAAATGTAATGAGTATTTTTTCCCACTGGCAGCCAACGTAAGAGGCATCCTTCCCACCGATGACCAATGTAACATATTCTTCCCTATGACCATCAACTGTGAGAAGCATTCTTTCCAATGAAAATCAGTTTAAAGTGATTGTAAAGGCTCAAGGTTTTTTACCTTTATGCATTCTAGGCATAAAGGTGAAAAACCTTCTGTGTGCAGCATCCCCCCAGCCCGCCTAATACTTACCTGAATCCCAACTTGATCCAGCAATGTGCACAAGAGCAGCAGCTCTCTGGGGGTCTCTGCCTCCTCATTGGCTCCTGCTGTTCTCAATCACAGCCAGTGAGCCAACGAGGAGAGAGCAGAGGCAAGGCTGAGCCGCGCTCTGTGTGTGAATGGCCAGACAGAGCAGTGGCTTTTTTCATGGACCACCAATGTAAGGAGTATTCTTCCCACTGTAAGTGGCATTCTTCCCACTGACCACCAATGTAAGTGGCATTCTTCCCACTGACCACCAATGTAAGTGGCATCCTTCCCACTGACCCCCAATGTAAGGGGCATTCTTCCCACTGACCCCCAATGTAAGGGACATTATTCCCACTGATCACCAATGTAAGGGACATTCTTCCCACTGACCACCAATGTAAGGGACATTCTTCCCACTGACCACCAATGTAAGTGGCATCCTTCCCACTGACCGCCAATGTAAGGAGCATTCTTCTCACTGACCAAAAATGTAAGGGGCATTCTTCTCACTGACCCCCAATGTAAGGGACATTCTTCCCACTGACCCCCAATGTAAGGGACATTCTTCCCACTGATCGCCAATGTAAGGGGCATCCTTCTCACTGACCACCAATGTAAGGGTCATTCTTCTCACTGACCACCAATGTAAGGGGCATTCTTCCCACTGACCACCAATGTAAGGAGCATTGTTCCCACTGACCACCAATATAAGGGACATTCTTCCCACTGACCACCAATGTAAGGAGCATTGTTCCCATTGAACACCAATGTTAGGGGCATTCTTCCCACTGACCCCAATGTAAGGGACATTCTTCCCACTGACCACCAATGTAAGGGACATTCTTCCCACTGGCCACCAATGTAAGGAACATTCTTTCCACTGACCGTCAATGTAAGGGACATTCTTCCCACTGGCTGCCAATGTAAGGAACATTCTTTCCACTGACCGTCAATGTAAGGGGCATTCTTCCCACTGACCACCAATGTAAGGGGAATTCTTCCCACTGACCTCCAATGTAAGGGACATTCTTCTCACTGATTACCAATGTAAGGGACATTCTTCCCACTGATCACCAATGTAAGGGACATTCTTCCCACTGACCCCCAAATGTAAGGGACATTCTTCCCACTGATCATCAATGTAAGGGACATTCTTCCCACTGACCACCAATGTAAGGGACATTCTTCCCACTGACCACCAATGTAAGGGACATTCTTCCCACTGACCTCCATTGTAAGGAGCATTCTTCCCACTGACCACCAATGTAAGGGGCATTCTTCCCACTGATCACCAATGTAAGGAACATTCTTTCCACTTACCGTCAATGTAAGGAGCATTCTTCCCACTGACCCCCAATGTAAGGGACTTTACCTCCACTGAAGACCAATGTAAGAGATGTTCTTTCTACTAACCATCAATGTAAGGATCATTTTTTATTTAGGGGCCACCACTACCCAAAACTGACCTCACAGCTGACGGGATAAGCTAAGATTCAGGCCAAGAACCTGTGGGACACTGTCACATGACAGCAGCATCCATGCATGGAAATCCTCACCCAGCAGGTGCATATAACAAAGAGGCAAAGGTTAGGGTGACATTGTTGACCTCACATGGTCACCTGGCCATATTTTCTCAATGACAATAGCCAAATATGGTAATTATTTCAATGGAAAAATGCAGAAGTGAGAATCCAGTTTCAGAGATTTTTCAGCAATGAGATCTCGCTACACCAGCCTGTGCTCCCACCCCCCCCCCCCCTCCCCAAGTTGGCCTTTCCATTTTCTCCTCCTCCCGTACTTCGCCGTGAAATGAATTTCCAGTAATATCGGCTGAATTTCCCTTGTGGTTCTAATTAAACAGACACAGACTCCGATGAATCCTCGTCCGTAGAATGTATTTGTTATAAAGTTCCGTTTTAATTTTGTGAAACTTGTATCAAACTTCTGCCGAGTTTCCTCGCCGCTCCCTTCAAACTCGCGACTTCAAAGATCCCCCAACAAACATTAACATCCAGATTCAGCTGCCGCGGAGATTCTGCCCGTTAGCAGAGAAAGTTGCACCCTGGGGGACTCCAAACGAGGCTGGAGTCTGTGAAGGAAATTGCAGCCCTTGAGGATAAACTGTCACATGTAATATTCCACATTTTATCAACGCTTCACTTAAAGAGCAACCGGCACAAACGTCTCCTGTGCTAAATGAATACTGGGGTGGAGAAATCACATTATTAGCAATACAGAATGTTCACAATTACGAGACGACAGTCATTTATAAAGGTTTATTTCACCGTAAGATTAACAATTTCAGCTTCATCATAATTTGGCCAAAATATAACCATATGGTGGCTCTTGGATGAAATGGCCTTACATAAAAAGATATACATTGAAGAAAACCTTCTCATGGTCCTTTCAAGCCCTCTGATGCTCTTCAAGCCAACCCTAGCAACTGCAGTGAAATTTTGAGCAAAGTGGTGGTGCGCATAATACACACTATGGCAACTTAAAGGTTCTTTAGTGGCGATACCATGAGATAGTGATAGACTGACAACTCATGGGGCCCCCCGGGCAATAGGGGATCATGGGGCCACTGTGTCCTTGCCCAAACTCAAAAAAGCCTATGAAAAAGGAACCAGGGGCATCTCATGGGGCCCCCTACTGACCCCGGGCCCTCGGCCAGTTTACAAATGGTCAGTCCGCCCCTGGTGATAGGTCTGCAGGAGATTAAAGGGTAAGTTCATCTTTTCATGAAAGTTGAAAGGGTGAACTAACTCTGCATATCCTGACCACCCCTCTGGACCCCACCCCTGCACATAGTGGCCATGATGTCCTGTGCTTTTGATGAAGTAGTCACACCGTACACTGCCAGATGCAGCCCCGGAGTGAGCATCCATCATAATAATCTCAATGGCAAGCACTTATTGGTCAGAAGGACCTTGTGACCATTCAGAAACACCTCTTTGCTCTGGAACATCTTACTGGAGGAAAAAAATCTTCCACTGCTTTGACCAATGTGCATTTGTCATTGAATGAAATAGGATGGCTACTCACTCTGGGGCTGTGTGTTGCGGTGTTCGGACTGCTACACTAGCAGCATGGGACATCACAGCCGCTATGTGCAAGAGGGTGGTCAGAATATTTGGAGGCAGCTCACCTATTCATTTTTTTGTGAAAAAGTGAACTTACCCTTTTCATTAAAACAATATGGTCCTCTAAGTTGAGAATACAGGAAAAAATGGCAGTTGTGTTAATACAGTAGGACCAAATGAGCAATCAGGAAAAGGCAACAAATGGGCAGTTTACAAACAGACAATCATAACAATGCAGATGCAATAGTTACATAGTCTAGGGGAAAAAAGACAAAAGTCCATGAAGTTCAACCATTAAAAAAAAAGTTATGATCTTACACCCACAGTTGATCCAGAGGAAGGCTAAAAACCCAGCAAAGCATGATTCAATTTGCTCCTGTAGGGGAAAAAAATTCCTTCCTGATCCCCCGAGAGGCAATCGGATATTCCCTGGATCAACTTTACCTATAAATGTTATATCCAGTTATATTCTGTGTATCCAAGAAAGAATCCAGGACTTTTTTTTAAAGCAATCCACTGAGCTGGCCAGAACCAACTCTTGAGGGAGTCTATTCCACATTTTCACAGCTCTTACTGTGAAGAAACCTTTCTGTGTTTGGAGTAGGGGCGGATTGACAACTCATGGGGCCCCCGGGCAATAGGGGATCATGGGGCCCCTGTGTCCTTGCCCAAACTCAAAAAAGCCTATGAAAAAGGTACCTGGGGCATCTCATGGGGCCCCCTACTGACCCCGGGCCCTCGGGCAGTGCCCAACTTCCCAAATGGTCAGTCCGCCCCTGGTTTGGAGATTAAATTTCTTTTCCTCCAGACGTCAAGAGCGCCCCCTTGTCCTCTGTGATGACCTCAGGGTGAATAACTACACCAAGTTTACTATATGAACCAGTGATTTATATATACAGATTTAATAAATGGAATATGTTTCAGTATGGGGGCTACACATGGGCAGTTGTTACAATATGTGGGCCACAAGCAATCAATTGTTATAATATGCAGGCAACAAATGGGTAATTGTTTCAAAATTCATACAAAAATTAGATAATTGTTACAATATACAGACAAAAAAAGTCAATTGTTATAATATGTGTACAACAAACAGACAATTGTACCAGTAAGTGGGCTACAGACAATTCTTAGATCCTGTTCACACTTGAGCATTTTGTTGCCTGATTCCTGAAGCACAACAACACGCAAGATGTAGAATCCCTCTATTCTCAATGGGCCTGTCCATATCTAAGTGCTGTGTTGCTCTTCAACTGTTGCTTTAAGCTCGAAAAAGTACATAAGCTTCTTTGGGGCAGAAGCACACATTTTTGACCCCATAGATTTTAATGGAAGCACCTGAAAAAAAGTGCACAAATCCATGTGCACCACCCACACAGAGAATTGCGGCCCCGCGGGCAGGTGCCATTAGTTGTAATGGCACGCCGCCCGCACTGGAAAACACAACCATACTGGGAACTGAGGTTCCTGTGCGGGCTGCGTTTTCCAAAGACGTGTAGGGACTTCTTTCTGGGCATCTCATGGGCACGGGAGTCCATTCAAATAAATTGGGCTCTCATGTCCATGGAAAACGCGGCCCGCACGGCTGCTTAAATGTGAACCGAGGGTCATGGCTCCTGCACAAAAGCCTCCAGATGGCCTGGCTATGATCAGAATGAAGTGTGAATGGCAGCTGACGATATAAGAATAACAAGGAGACAATTGTAACAATCTGTGTGTAAGGAACAGGCAATTGTTTCAATATGAAGGCAACAAATTGACAATTGATACAAAATGCAGGCAACAAACAGGCAATTTGTTACAATACATGGGTAACGAATCAATCATTTTTCATTACCAGGAAACAAAGGAACAATTGTTGCAATATAAAAACCATAAGCAGACAATTGTTACAATATGCAGACAACAAACAAGGAATTGTTACAGTAGATATCAACAAACAGGCAATCGGTATAATATGAGGGCAACAAACAGGCAATTGTTACACTTAGTAGGCAACAAACAGGCAATTGTTACACTTAGTGGGCAACAAACAGGGAATTGATACAATTAGTAGGCAACAAACAGGCAATTGTTACACTTAGTGGGCAACAAACAGGCAATTGTTACACTTAGTGGGCAACAAACAGGGAATTGATACAATTAGTAGGCAACAAACAGGGAATTGATACAATTAGTAGGCAACAAACAGGCAATTGGTACACTTAGTGGGCAACAAACAGGGAATTGATACAATTAGTAGGCAACAAACAGGCAATTGTTACACTTAGTGGGCAACAAACAGGGAATTGGTATAATATGTAGGCAACAAACAAAAAATTCTTACAATAAAAAAACTAAAAGCAGACATGTGTTACAATATGCAGGCAACAAACAGGGAATTGATACAATTAGTGGGCAACAAATAGGCAATTGTTATAATACACGGGCAACATACAGACAATTTTTACAATACGCAGGCAACAGACAATTGTTACAAAAAGTGCGCAAGAAATAGGCAACTCACAATTTTTCTAATCTCCAGCATTAGAGCCATTGGATGGCCATGGCAGCCAGATAGCTAGGACTTTCAGAAGGTGGCATGCAGTGCTATGGAAGTAGGTAGGATGCTAACTTCCTTCAAAAAAATGCTAATTTTTCCTGACTCTCGCACTGATCTTCTATAGTCAGTATTTCCCTTGCTATGTGCTTCTTCACAGGCAGATAGGCAATTGGCAAAGCTGATCTTCATGTTTTAGTCTGTACAAGTTCCTGTTCATCACTGAAGACAAACAAGGGTCCTGTGTATATAAAGGTGTATATATTCATATTTTCTATATTCTCTCTCTCAATTATTATTTTATTATTATTACTATTCTAAATTAATATTATTGTAATAATAATAATAATTATTATTATTATATTATATTATCCAGTATAATATTTCTCTCCCTGGCATTTCAGGTACACGTTATGTATTAAATTTATTCTATTATTCTAATTTTATGTGCAATACTGTATGCCATTATTATATTATTACTATTCTAAGTTGTTATTAATATTATTATAGTATGTGTTTTTTATATATATATATATATATATATATATATATATATATATATATAGTATTATGCTGTAAATATAAGTAAAATATATGGAAATATTCCACCAATATTAAATAGGTAAGTTAAATACAAAAAAAAAATATTCCACCAATATTAAATAGGAGAGTTAAATCTAAAAATATAAGACGTCACCTCAAACAACATCGAGTTTCAAAGTAGCACAACCGACAGTGCAGATTGGT